GCCGGCGAGGGGCCCTCGCCGCTGAGGTGGAGCCGCGGGCCCCGCCGCCGCTCCTGCCCCCTCCCTCCCTCCTCCCCTCCCCCTCCCCTCCGGTCCTGTCTCCAGCGGGAGCGCGAGACGCTGGTCAGGCTCCGCGGCGCAGCTCGAAAAGGAATAATCGCCCCCGATTGACTGAAATTCCTCCGGAGCCGGCGCCGCGGCCGCCTGCGCCCGAGACCACGCTCCGGGGCCGAGTCCGCCTCTCCTCCGGGAAACGCTCGCGACCCGGGGCCGCCGGCGGCCGCGACTCCGCTCTGCCGATCGCCTGAGTCCGTTTTCGCCGGTTGCGGGATCTGGAACCGAGTTACATGCATGTCCAGTGGGGGCAGGTTTAATTTTGACGACGGAGGGTCCTACTGCGGAGGCTGGGAGGACGGCAAGGCGCACGGCCATGGCGTGTGCACCGGCCCCAAGGGCCAGGGCGAATACACCGGCTCGTGGAGCCACGGCTTCGAGGTGCTGGGCGTCTACACCTGGCCCAGCGGCAACACGTACCAGGGCACCTGGGCGCAGGGCAAGCGCCACGGCATCGGCCTGGAGAGCAAGGGGAAGTGGGTGTACAAGGGCGAGTGGACGCACGGATTCAAGGGGCGCTACGGGGTGCGGGAGTGCGCGGGCAACGGGGCCAAATACGAAGGGACCTGGAGCAACGGGCTGCAGGACGGCTACGGGACCGAAACCTACTCGGACGGAGGTAGGTGCCGCGGGCCGGGCCGGACCGGGGCGGGAGGGGACCTGCCCGCGATCGCGCTCCTTCGGTGGCTCTCCTGGGAAGTTGAGCTGCGCCCTCCGCTTGGGCCGTGGGCACCAGGGGCGGCCTTTCCCGGGCTTCCCTGGAGGCCATGGTGGCTCCTGGCTACAGGTTGCCTCGCTGCTTGGTGGGGACAGTGCCGCTGTGCCAGCTGAAGGGTGTTGGGGGCTTTCAGGGGGCCGAGCCAAGGGGGGCCCAGCAGAGCATCCGTGCGTCGGACACAGCAGGCCGGAAACCTGTGAGAAGGGCCAGGCTGGGCCCGCGGCCCCGGGGAACCCAGCAAGGGCAGAGGGGGCTGGGCGAGGGCCCCTCCCCTTGTTGGCTTTGCCCCCCACCCTATAGACCGCCAGTCGATCAGGCCCCAGGTTCGCTTCTGGTGTTCCTGCGGCGGCGCCCGAGGGCCTTCCTCGGCCCGAATCTGCCCAAGCCCAGGGAAAGGGAGTGATGGGGAGCGCTAGGGGCGGGGGATGCCAACCCGAACCAAAACGGCCAGGCAATAAACTTCTAGGTGGTTGGACGCGGGCTAGCGCTGTCGAAGCAGGCTGCTGGAGGGAGGAGGGAGGCCCATCTGCTCAGTGAGAGCCCAGGAATCTCGCCTTTCAGTGGCTGCATCATTTTCACCATTCGTTGAGGGAATCGGTCTGTTCCTTCATTCTAAGATGCCACCACACTCGGGGCAGAGCCGGGGCCGGAAGCCAGGGAGCTGCCTGCTCTTGCTGCTGCTGCCGCCGCTGCCGCTGTAAGATGGTTTCTGTGCAGGGAGCCTTGGCTGGCTCTGCAGCTGCCCGCCTGCCCGGATACTCCGGATATCCACTCCTCAGTGCACCTGACACGCACAGAGCCGGGCCTTTCCTGGAAGCCAGACCCCAAACAAACAAACTGGCTTCCCCAACCCGTCCACCCCCATGTGGGAGCTCATTCTCAGAGGCGTAGGTCCCCTGCCTCCCTCGGGCAGCTCGCCTGTTTCAGGCATGGATGCCTGGGAAGGGAGTGAGACGCAGCAATGACTCGTGCTTCTGCCGGGAATAAAAATCCTGAGCGAACGTGTGCGCCGGTCCTCCCCGCCTGATCGCTGCCTCCGAGTCTCATGAAGAAAGCTCGGAACACCTGCTCCCCGGTCACATCCAGGAGTGGCGGGGGGCTGGAGAGTAATTATTATTTTGGCTTATGCAACTGAAAAGCAGGGTTCGTTATTACCCGAAGAGGAGGAGGAGTCTGGGGCAGTTAATTATATAATGCTCCTGCCTGTCAAAGCCCTGCCCAGCCCCTGTCTCAGGCGGCCTTTTCAATGCCGTTTTTGTTTTCATGGAGCAGGTTAGAGAGCTGCCCTGACCCTGGGGCGCTGAGGGCCTGACGGGAGCAGACGGTGCTCCCTTGGTTCCAGGCTGTGGGCCTGTGTATGTGTGTGTGTGAGCGCGCGCGTGCAGGCACAGGGAGGCCCGGGCAGCAGATGTGGGTGGCTGAGACAGGCAGGCAGCCTGGCGCTTCCAGCTGGCTGTTTGGAGCCCATGGGCTGCTGTTTCCCTCAGGCTCTGGCCATGAGGCTCTGCAGAGCCATCCTCCGGAGTGCTCCCGTTTGAGCGGGCTCCAGGAGGACTGTGCAGGCCTGGCTCACGCAGGACATGGAGAGGAGAGGGCCCAGGGCTCTCATTGTCTCTGATCCCCAGATCCTCAGAATATCTGGGGGTGAGGCAGAGCACCTCACTCTGCCCACCCTCCCCAGACATCTCCAGTGTCCTGAGGAATCATTTCTTTCATTCGACAAATACTAATGGCACGCTTGCTAGGAGCCAAGTGTGCTAGGCTCTGGGAAAACCACACTGAGCAAAGCAGACACAGATCTTTGCCTTCATGGAGCTTATGTTTGAGGGAGAAGGGGTGGCGATTATGTTGTGACTTTTTGGGGAAGAGAAGATCTGATTCTGTGGCTGGCCCTGAGTTTAGGATCTGATGGGTTAAGGGGAGGGACGATTTTCTCTGTGGGTCGACTTCCCTGGGCTCTATACTCCAGCCAGCCAGCTCCCTCAGTGTCCTGCTCCCCTAAGCCCTTCCCCTCCTGGTGGTCCTACCTGATTGTGTCCATTCTACAGATGAGGCCAGTGAGGCCCGGGCTATGTGATTCAGGAGTCCAGGGCCCACAGCCTTTGGCCGCAGGGGTCCCCGACCTGTCTGGGGCCAAACCCCCCTTGCTCCCACATCACATTGTCTGGAAGAAGCCCAGATTGTAAAACATTCTCTCAAGGGGTTTGCAGTTCTCAGCTCTCCCATAGGTGAAGCCAGGCAGGCACGCAGATGGGGGGCTTCAAAGCCGGCTCTTCCTTTCAGTTGATGACATGGCATGATGGGAAATGGAATTGACCCTTCTGGTCTGGAGGACTCAGGCCTGGACATCTGGGCTGCTTTTCTGGAGGGCTCCCAGCTTCCTGTTGGGAAGCAGGTGACTGGAGTGACTGTGGCACCGAGTGTCCCCAGGCAGGCCATGGAGAGAGCTGAGGGGTGTGGGGAATGCCAGGATGGGGCAGAGGCCTGCATGCCTTCTTCCTAGTCAACTGGTGGGTGGTGACAGTGGTGTCTGAGGGGCAGTGAGGAAGGAGTTAATGGTCATAGCTCCACTCCAACTTTTCTTTTGCACAAGAGATGGGGAAATATTGGGCAGCCATCAGCAAAGCTCTGGAACCTTAGCCCCCCTCTTGGCGCTGACTTGGGCAAATGACGACTTTCATGAATGATGAACCAATAGCCAGTGTATTCCACGTGCAGTTGGAATTGGTGTGGAATTTCACCTGGGGCCACCTATGCCAACTCCTCCTCCTCCTCCAGGTGTGTCTCCCCTTAGGGTACTCCCTGACTGAGCTGAGTAGCTTCTACTATTTGCATGGTGAGGCCCGGGGGTGTGGGGTACAGGACCACCTGCCTGAAGTCAACCCAGCTTGCATCCTGGGCTTCAATCCCTGCCCTACATGCCCTGTTTTGTGACCTTGGGTGAGTTACTTAACCTCTTTGAGCTTGTTTCTTCATCTTTACAAAAGGTTGAGGACAATACCTGTAAGGTGGGTGAGGATTAATTGAGGATGGGGTGCATGGCTATACCAGGAATATAATAAGCATTCATTATTATATACCATGAGTTTTATCATTGCAGTTCCTAGGCAATGCATGTCACTTGTAATGATCATTATTAGAACCAATATCTGGACATGAGAATGGTGATAATGTAAATGGTGATAAATAGCAACATTAGATACTTACTGTGTGCTGAGCATGTGGCAAGTGTTAAATGAATTATAGCTCTTAATTTTTATACATCTGGAGGGTGGTTTTCTTGTTATTCCCATTTTCCACACTGGGAGGTGGAGGCTCTCAGTGATTGTGGCTTGGGAGGAACCGGGACACACTCAGGACAGCTATCCCAGAGCCTGAGCTTTTGCTAGATACACCTCTCTCTAAATGCCCCTGTGCAGAAATACCTTCTGTTCTTTCCTCTCCTTCATATCTCTTCTTCCGTTGTGGGTACGGTGGCCCAGAATTGCAGGTGAATGCCTTTGCACAGACGTGCTCATCCATACCCTGCCCAGGACCCCTTACCCCCTGAGACCCACCATGCATGCCTGTGCTTCACTGAACAGGTAGATCTTTCCTTCGGGTGCTGTGTACACAGAACCCCTCGAATCAAAAGTTTCCCCCTCCAATAAACCCTCCTACACCCTGAGAGGTATGAGTCATCTCACGCCCAAGCCTCTCCCCCTCATACTCAGGTCCCGTTCACCGGCCCAGATTCCTCAGCCCACACAAATCACACACACCCACAGTCAGAATCAGATCCCCCCAGGCGCCTGCGCACACACACGCGCACAAAACACCTGCTACCCGGAGACATTTTCCATCCCGTCCCCTAAAACGCAGCCACTGCACCCTCCTGGACTTTTTTGCTCCCCACTGGACAAGGACTGTGAATCTCTACCAGCCTTGTAAACGGGAGCTCAGATGACAGAGGCAGTGGTGTGCTTTGCTTCCATTTTAAACATATGTTTATGCTGTTTGTGCCCCTTTTAGGGAGAAAAATCCCTCATTAAACAAAATAAACTACCATTGGGCATATTCTTTGTGCTCGACTATGACTATGTGACAAGTGAATTCTTTTTAAAATGAGTGCCCAGGTTAGGAGAAAATACGTTCATTGGTGTGGAGATTATGCCAACAGAAAGTCATTTCAGAAACAAGCGAGCCCTGAGCAGTTGAAGATGAAAGCATTTTCTCCCAGATTCTCTTTCCGCTACTTTGGGGGCCGGGTGGTGAAAGGCTCCATAAGGTGAAAAGCGAAGGGAAGAAGCAAACAGCTAGTTTTTTGTTGCCAGTTATAGCTGAGAAAGAAATGTGGCTGAAGAGCACCCCTACCCACGTCAGCCCTCGGGCCCTTTGACGGGCTTTATCTGAGGAATCCTGAGATGAGCTGGCTGGGGAGTAAGGACCAGCACCCACCTACAGTGGCGATCTGGAGTAGTGGGTAAGCAGCCCCAGCTGACACAGAGAAGGAGAGAGAGAGCTCTGACCTCTTCTTCTCTGAGGACATCCAGTGGGAGAGAGCAAGAGGGGGCAGGGGTGGGGGTGGGGGAAGGGACTGCTGCTGTTCCTTCCAAGGCGTTTTCTTCCTGTTTTCCCCAGGCCTCCACGACTCTAAATATGACTAACTCTCAACTGTGAGCTAATAATGTTGACTGTAACGCCCTTTGTGTCCTTAGATGACAAAAAGAGTTGTGAGTAGTAGAGGAGAGGGTGATGTTGGTGTGAATTTTCCACAATGGTCTGTGTCTCTGTGGATAGGGCACTTCCCCCGCTGGTAGTTTCCTGGCTGTGAGAGGTTGCGTGGTGGATGGTGCCTCTGCTGCACAGGGGTCCTGGCTGGAACTTGAGCAAGGTGCTGGCTTCCTGTCTAGAGAGGACAG